TAAAAACTCAAAACCTTTAACACCTGTTAAAAGTCCGTGCAATCCACCCTTGTGTTTTTGTTTGGTTTTTGTGTTGTTGTTGATGGTTTTTTGGGAGGGTGGGGGTGGGGGTTGGGCTTTCTTCCCCCCCCCCCCCCTCTTCTCTCTTTTCCTCTCTCTTTTGCTCGTTCTCCTTCTCTCTTCTCCTTCTTCCTCCCATGATAGTAGAGTGCGCCTTCAGTCCGCTACCGCCGCAATGCGAGTGCGCATGCGGCACAGAAAAATCAACGAAACATAAAAAAAGAAAACCATGGGTGGACTTTTGTCTCGATGGACTCTGCCATGTAGGAACCTCCAGTAAGCGTTACAGTAACCTGCAAGGTTATCTGGCGGGGGTGGCGCGAGTTATCTGTATGTTTGCGTGCGTACACAGCAACAAAAAGTGTTCAAGGACTGAATTGGTTTTTAGAAATCGTAAATGAATAACGTCAGTTTCAATTTCGACCGCTAGTTCATACCCACTTTCTGTTGCTAAGTTTTAACTGTGAGGACCCGTTAGCAGCTGGTAGTCACGCCCGGTCTGTGACGCGACACCCTCCACTCAAAGACGCTCGTCTCCGTGGTCTGGTGTGAAAATGGAGGCCGGCATGCACAGCAGATTGACGTTCTGCTCGTCCTCCGAAAGCGGGAGGCGGACGAACGACGTACGAAGACATCCCAGGCGGGAAGGCAGGGTGATGGGGTGAGGGGGGGAGGTGCAGACAGTGCAAGGGTCACACTGGCGAATAAGCTTACCAGGCAGACGTCTTTCTGATAAGCGCGATGAGAGCAATTGACCGTGTCCTCTCTCAGATGGACTTCCCCCTCCGCCTACAATTCTCCCACTCATCCCCGCCCCTCCCCCCCCTCCCCAAACCCCGTCTCCAAAATTCACGCACGCTCTGTACTTTCTTTTCCCCCTCTGTTGTATTCAACTAATATGTGACAAAACCATAAAACATGTATGTAGACTTGTAATGGACGCCCCAATTTTGCGGGGATCAGTTCTTCATCAAGGAGTTCCTCGTCCTTTACGGCTTACGGAGGGTGAGTTTGTCCCCCACTGCCCCCCTTCCCCCCTCCTTCCCCGTGGGGCGCGTGTCGCTCCCTGAGTAGCTCTGGCCGTTATCAGTCGTGGAAGAAACACTTCGCCCGGGTCCCGTGCCGTGTTTGTCGCTATTGGCTCGAGCCCGGACCAGACCGGACCAGACCCACCCCCACACACCAGGCGTTTATAAGGGGCGCGCCGAACGGAACCGCTCACCATCCCCTCTTTTGTGCGTAAGTCGCAGATAAAACGCCTCAAAGTAGGCAACGTGCGCCTAGGCCGCCTAGGCTAGAACCCACAAAGTTGCAGAGGAGTTTTTCCCATTACTCGGCCGGGTTTGCAGTTCTGTGCGGTTCCCCACTCCGGCCCCCTCCCCTCCGATGCCCTCACTTCTCTGCCCTCCATCCGTGGAATGATACGGACTTGTAATGGAAAGTAATACGCCGGCCCGTGTATTCTTCCACCTCCACTGTGTTTGTTTTAGTGATCTCTTTCTCTCTCTCTCTCTCTCTCTCTCTCTCTCTCTCTCTCTCTCTCTCTCT